TGTATGTGTTATCGATACATCAGAGGAAATTTGTAAAGTAGAATGACAGTTCCTCCTCTTGTACTATCATTTTTGCCTTTGATCTCTTTGTATGTGGTTTTATTTGTTTCCTTGTGATTTATATCATTTTCAGGGAGAAAAAGTTTTTGTAGGTTCTTTTTTATACATAATATACATAATATGATATTTATCATTTTAGCCTTTCCTAAATGTTCAATTCAGTGGCATTAAATACATTCACAGTGTTGCATAACCATAACCACATCTATACCCATAACTTTTTCATCATCCCCAATGAAACCTCTGTACCAATTAAATAACAACTCCTTTCCTCTTTACCTCCAACCATGGAGTCATCTACTCTCTGTTTCTATGGGCTGGCCTATTCTAGGTACTTCATATAAGTAGAATCATACAGTATTTGTTGTGGCTCATAATATTTTCATAGTTCATCCATGTTGTAGCATGTATCTGGATTCTGTTCCTTTCTAAGGCTGAGTAACATTGGGTTGTTTTCAACCTTTTGGCCATTATGAATAATTTTGCCATGAACACCGTTGTACAAATATCTGTTTGAGTCCCTGCTTTCAATCCCCTTTTGGATATACATCTAGGAGTTGAAGTACTGGGTCATATGATAGTTCTATGTTTAAAAAGGTAGGGTCTTTTTTTTTGTTTTCTTTTTCCCTAGTTCTAAATTTTGGAGCAAAACCAAGGCTAATTTCTCTTTCTCTGAATATTCTTTAAGCATTTGAAAATAGCTATGATGTCTTTTCTAAGTCTTCTCTTGTCTAAGCTAAAAATTCCAAGTGATGTAACCTGTTTTTTTAGAACTCAAATGAAGATCTTCTATCAACCCCAGCTACATTTCATGTCATTACTTTCATCACTTAGTTCGTGCTAAGGGGATATCCAAATAACTTGTTCTGGGATCCAGTGCATTAGACGCCTTTCCCAAGTTTATGTTTCCTACCTTTGAGATACACTGGGAAAACATTTAAGAATTATAAAAGCAAACGTCGGGGCGCCTGGGTGGCTCAGTTGGTTAAGCGACTGCCTTCGGCTCAGGTCATGATCCTGGAGTCCCGGGATCGAGTCCCGCATCGGGCTCCCTGCTCAGCGGGGGGTCTGCTTCTCCCTCTGACCCTCTTCCCTCTTGTGCTGTCTCTCATTCTCTCTCTCTCAAAAAAAAAAAAGCAAACGTCATCTTTCTTTTCCACTTCATGAATAATCACAAAGTGGATGGTGAAGATAAAATTACTTAATCCATCTTTAAAATTTCTCACAGGGATCCATTAGAAGTATTCAACTTTTATTTTGTATTTTTAGAAAAAAGTGTTTTGTTGACATTGTATTAGCTGACTTGAATACCATGTCATAAGGTAGACCATCCTTGTACATAGTAGAAGTTCCATAAGACTTGTTGTAAGAACGAAGAATGGAAACATTGGCTTTTTGTCGTTGGCTGTTTTTACTGAGACCAGACCGCTCTTGTTTTAAAGGCACTTGTGATTATTGTGGGGGCTGTTTTTATGTCCAAAGCTGTGACATCCCTTATTTCCATTACTGGGATTCTGCTAAATGTTGATCTAAGTTATGTTTGTGTCTAGTTTACTATACTGGTTAAAGAAGAAAAAGTGATATTCTATATATGATCTACTACATGTTTATAAGCTGCCTAGCTCTTAAAACTCAAATAAGAATATTTATGTAAGATATTTCTACCCCTAAAGCCCTAGTATGAAAATTCCTTTTCTTAAATATCCCCCTAGGTTCTTCTTCCACAACAGTTGTCTGGTTATTTTGGCATTTGCTCGGGTAACTCAAGAATCTTACAGAATGCCTGTGTGTTGGGTTGACCAAAGAGTTTAGTTAGAGGGTAGAGCTCCTGGTTGACCATTTCTTGTATTGAAGAAGAAAATTTTCTTTGGGAAATTAAACTTATGTGAAAATTTGTTATTGATGTTTTGTCATCCAAGGAAGTTTTAAACTTGCTGAAGATGTTAGTCTGTACACTCTGGTCATCCCATGGTTGATCTCATTTCTGAAAGGGTCATATTCCAATTACGGTTTTTTTACTCTTTAAACTTAATTTTACATACTCAGAATATTTTTAAGCATTAACAGAATAACTGTTTTGAGAATAAGATGTGCCTTTAGTTTCTCAGGTGTCACAGTTTTCCAAAACCTCACACAGTCAATTGACAAATCAGTAATATCCCCACAATTTGCAAGTGGCATACAGTTGCAGAACTTTGACCAGCTTAAAAAAAAAGAAGAAAGAGCAATACATTAGGGGAGAAACATTTCAATTGTTCAGATAAATGTTTGTTGTGTCATTTCATCCTACATTACCTATATTGATTTGGGATAAGATTAGTCATCCTGTGTTCATTTTTACTAAAAGGATTATGAGGAAAGTGACTAAGAAAGTGAACTTCCCAACTTGCTAATAGATTTCAACTTTAATTTCCCATTTTGGATATCCCCTGAGAACTAAATCACTCTGGAATTTGAATCTAATCCTGAGCTTTCTCCACGTGACAGCCCAGCAGTTGCGCCTTTCTCCCCTTGCCCTGGCTTTCTCATCCCCGTGATCCCATGATTGCTACTATTTTCAACTCTAAAGTAAGCTCGAGAAGAAACAACCTAAATGTAATGAGAAGTGGTAGTGATTTTACTCATTTTCCTCATCGAAAACAGTTGACAGCACTGTTGATCAATTTCTCATAGCTTGTTTGGCAAGTGATTGACTGCCTTTGCTAAATACTCTCCCTTAAATTACGGTTGCAATATTGTTCCCACCGAAAGAACTACAGTAACTTCTATTTTGTGCCTTTGCATGGGGTCTCCTTTTGTTCCCTCCACCCCTCCCACTCCAACAATTGAAAGTTGGCCAGCATCCCCATTAATCAAATGTTGGATAAAAGGTATTTGTTAAAAATAGTTTTGCTTTTTTGTGAAAATGGGAAAAATTTGAACAGATTAAGATTAAATAGCAGTGGAAGAGTCGGGTAGTTTGGCGAACAGAAAGCTGGAGTAGAGTTGATTTCCTGGCACTGCTTTCTTCGCAAAGAGAACAATTTTAATCAGTTACAAAAATATTTGTGATCCATATGTTCCTCTCTGCTCATTCCCATATGCCCATATTCCCTTTTATCTCGGTAGATGATGACTTTATGATTCAGTCATGCAAGAATAATACCTCGCTGACTTTAGAGCTCAGTGCTATTTCAAAACGTGTCCTGGTAATTACGCACACACATGTATCCAGGCTGTTCACGCTTTGAGTTGGTTACGTGAATATCAGTTTGTTCTTCCTTTTTCTTCATGGAAAGAATTATATCTTGCATCCACCTACTGGGGCTGGAATAATGCATCTAAGGCTTAGATTTGAAAACAGCATTGCCATTCACCTGCTGGATTAAATGCCACTGTACAAATATGAGGATCAGAGAAAAGAAGACAAAAAGATTGAGGTGATCGTTGATAACTTCATTTTCTTTGGGAAAAGGAAAACAGAATCCAAAAAGCATGTGGTAATTCCATCCATCACTGGTGCCTATTCTGAGACATATTAGATAATGGGCTGGTTACTTAAGTAGATCTTAATTTTAAGACATGTTGACTTCTATTTAATATCGAGTGTTAGTCATAGTAGCCATGGTGAAACTGGGCAAAATTGAAAAATTAAAATGACTGTTGATTAGCGATCCATTTTTGTCCTCAGTGCATGTTTGCTTATCTCTCATAGCTATATAATGTCTAACAACCAAAGAAACATACTGTAAAGCCAAATTGGCCATTCTGATAACGCAACAACAAAGCTAGAAATTATTGACTGTATTAGTGATCGCATTTTCAACAGTTGTTTCTCTCTTGCACAACAAATGGTGTTGTAATCCAATATGTTGTTAATATAGCCACAGCAAAATCCGGTGAGGAACCGGCTGTGCTCATTTAAACTTGGGAGGGGGGCAGCAACGGGGAGGCAGGGAGTGTTTTTCAACTACAGACAAAATAACTGAGATGCATTGAGTGTTTGCAAAGATGGGTGTGTGATGGAAGAGGTGTGCATGCTGTTGGATTTAGCAGGTGTGCCCCAGGGTTGCAGCAGAAGGGAGAGATACCGCTTGGTTTTGGCAAATATTATTAGGAATCCGTCTCTGTGTTTGCATTCAAGCTATCTTTGCCGCTGCTCCTGTAGGAGTTGTGAGAAAAAGAAAGTGCACATTATAGCGTGGATTGTTTTCAACGGGCTCAAAGTTTGCAAATCTGTTGAATCCCTCTGACAGTCTTTCTATGCTGTCAAGCAGAATGCCCAGCTGGTGGTGGCAATCCTGATGGGGAGGGAGGGGAAGGGGGAGACTGTGTTCACTGCCCGACAACAATATTAGGAGTTCATCTTTCCATACTGAAAGCAGGGAGGAAAGAGCTCTCTCAGCCATGCCATTGTGAAAGTTTTCTTTTTTCTTTTTTTTTTTCACTTTTATAGATAATGCCCATTAAATCGAAATCTTGAAATACACTTCATTAGGATAGCTTTCCTAAAGAAAGGAGTCTCAGAAATAGCAATAAAGTATATTATATTAACTTATAATTAAAACAAAAGCTTTGGTTAAAAATGGAGGCAAGACTTTAGCTCATAGGTGATCTGGATTCTCATTGAGGCAAACACACAGGCTTGTTTTTTTTTTTTTTTTAATATAAAGTGCGAGATTTCACTAAAAAAGGTTAAAATTGAAGTGAGTAATCTTCGGTGCATAATGCAATTGTTAATTTTAGCTCCCTGCGTGGGTGCCGCTCTGACTTGAACAGCCGGGCTGTAGCCTTCATTAGAGAAGAAGCAGGCAGCCCAAGACAGGTGGGGCTGGATCAAGCTGTGAACGTGATTTGCTGGAAGCTGGTCATTAGTGTTAGAAATCTGGTCTTATTTATTTGGTCCTTCACCCTGCCATGACTATTGCAATTATTATTATTGACTTTTCATCTTTTTTCAGGCTGACGATGTGTCAAACTGTGTAAGGGAATCGCATGGAGATGGGCATTCCGAACTGTTAATGGGGACATGGGACTCCAGTTGTCTCTGATCACTTGTGTGGATTTTCCCGGTGTAGAACGACAGAAGCCGCTAGTAAGTTGCCAAGACCTACAGCAGGAATTCTGCACGAAAGGTAAAGGCCTTGTTGTCCTGCTGTCATCTCATCTGTATTTTGTTATCATATAAATGTGCCTGTTGGCAGAGAAGAGGTCATTCAGTGTAACCAAAACAGACAGGATCTAGAGCAGGGACTCAATTGGCTCACAGTTTATAAAATTAGAGCTCAATTTGTTCATTCCATTTTAAATCTAGTCACAATCTGCTTTTATATGGAAATGCCTTGAAGACAGAGTTAGGGCAACAGACGTCCATCTCCTCCTCCCCCTTCCCAATACCTTGAGAAACAAGCTGTTTGCTGTGGAGAAACAGAACCGTTGTTAACTACACACAGAACCCCGCCAGTGTCACTGAAATATGAGGAATCTATCTGAATACACTGGATGGGATGTCCTCACATCTCCCCAAACTTAAAAGCAGTCCTCACCAATAACTTACAGACTCAAGCCACCATCCTTTAGAAAACTCTTCCTTTTACATTCCCATAATCCTTTGCCAAGTAAGCCTGCATTTTTTAAAGATCTCATTAGATACCATCTGTTCTGTCACGGTAGATCTTAGCAAATTTGCAACAGAAATCGCCATGGTTTAGATTTTTTCTCATGCTTCCCATATCCAGTTGGAAATAAAGTTACTGAATTAGTAAATGGTAATTAAACACTCCCAAAGAAACCTATCCCTGATTTGTCCAATAATCATTACCATTGTAATGACTGGAAAGAGGACAGTCATTGTTTGGGAACTTCTGTGGAAGAACTGACTTTCTAGGTCACATTGTTTTTCTTTTTCTTTTTCTCTTTTTCCTTCCTTCCTTCCTTCCTTCCTTCCTTCCTTCCTTCCTTCCTTCCTTCTTTCCTTCCATATTTCTTTCCTTTCTCTCCTTTTTTTTCTCACATCTTAAAAAAAAACTGAGGAGGAAGTAAATGCTAAATTATTCATGAACCTCATTTGACAGCATATCAGAAGGGGAAGTGTCAGGGGTTGTATGGAGGTAGGGAGAAAAAAAAAATAATAACAGGCTTTAACTTTGAAAAGCCATTTCCAGCGTCTGGGTAGTAGTGTACTGTGGGTCTGGAGTAGTGGGGTTCAGTGGCTATAGCGTCATTAAAACTGCCTGCCAGAGACTTGCTTCCACGGGATCTAACACTGGCAACTGCAAGGCGCTCGGGAAAGCACTCTTGCTTTTAATAATGTAGCTGTCAATTTGAAGCCTGAAAATGTTGGCCCTGAAAGGTTTATTGCCAAATTTAGATCTTATATTTACATTGAATTATTAGCTCTTAAATTGATTTTTGCCCCCACTTGCAGAGTACGCGGTATTCTTTATGCCTTAGGAAGGCATGTCGGTGGGTTGAAACTTGCAAATCATTTTTGAATCATCTTAGACATACTGCAGAACACCAATACCCGCTCTGGCCTCAGCAGCTGAGGGTCATCTCTTCAAGAGATGGAGCAATACTCTCTTTTTCTCTTTCCTCTCCTTTGTACTGGGGCATAGGGACTGGTAGATGTGTGGGAGTTCTGTGTCTCCGTTTAAGATTTGTTGATCCATTTCAATGGCAAGGTGTATTCGCGAGTGCGTGTGTATGGGTGAGGAGGGGGTGTGGATAGGGCGACTGAATCTGCCTCATGCGTTTGCCTTGGGTACTAGATTTGATCTTGCTTTCCTTACTCGCCTTTCCTGTAAAATTGGCAGAGATGCCAGAGTTGCTTGTGTGAATTTGAATACAAAGGGAGAAATGAAATACCGCAAGAATGATAGGAAGTGCTTCACCGTGCACTGACTTTAGGTTCTGACTTCTTAACCTCGCAGGGCATCACACCTTGTTATTTTAACTTGCGTCTGGGAGAATGTCTGAGCCAGGAGACCTGAATCAGGCAGCAGTGGAGGAGGGCGGGACTGAACAGGAGTCTGCCACCCCGGAGAACGGCATTGTGAAATCTGAGAGTCTGGATGAAGAGGAGAAACTGGAACTGCAGGTGAGCTTGGAAACCCTTTCTGTCTGCCCAACTCGCACCACTGTGCTCAGTTCCTCTCTTTCATAAGCAGAATACTTTGAAGGTTTGTTTTCTTTTTTTTTTTTTCATTTGAGAGTTTGACTAGTAAATGAATAGGAAATCCATAAAGCTACTCCTCTCCTTTCCTAATTATTTATCACTTTTTTTCTGACCAAAAGGTGCTCTAAAATGCCTTTTGAAATGAAAAAAATAACCAGAGATCGTGTTTAATGACTGAATTTGTGCACAGCATCTCCAGAGTGATTTCCAGGCCATCTCAAGGAGCTTGTGAAGGATTTCTTCCTGAGGCCGCTTTAGGCTAGCTGAGTTTTAAAAATGGATTTGCTATTCCAGGGAAAGCTGAAGTCCCAGTTTATGATAGACAAAGAAAAATCAAAGACCTGAGCTCTGTGGACCTCTGAGGGCAGGCAAAGTTTCAATTCATATTAACAAACAAACTTAAGCCCTAGAATTCACAGCCAGAGAGAAAGGAAGCGAGACAGAGATAGAGAAAACCCTAGAAAAGGGCGGGTGGGGGGGTATTGGGGGTGATTGACTGTACTGAAAAGGTGATATGATTAAATACACCATGATTTATGAGAGCAAGAGTATTGGTAGAGGGAAAACAAACTGTACTTGCAAATAGCCTGTATTGATTTTTCTTTGACCCAAACTACAAAAGTGTTAGCTCTTTTTATATACCAGTGAACAAAGGCAGATAACCACATAATGGCCAAAAGCCTTCAAGGTCAGCTTCCCTGATGCCCCTCCCCCCATAGCTGATGTAAGGAGAAGGAGCTAAAAGTTAAGAGGTCAAAAGTTTGGGGGAGAGAGGGAAGGGGAACCCTCCCCCAGTGGTTATAATATCTTATTGTTACTATTGATTTCTGGACTCTAGTGACAATACCTCTCTCTCTCTCTCTCTCTCTCTCTCTCCCCCCCCCCCCTCCTGTGTTGGTTTACTGTCTGTTTGTTTGTTTTACTTTGTTTCTAACATACAGAGGCGGCTGGCAGCTCAGAATCAGGAAAGAAGAAAATCCAAGGTAGGGTTCTGGAGATTACCCACTGACCTGATATCATGGATGTTAGTTGCATATTTCACATTGGGGTTAAACATGTTTGCCACGATTTCAAATGGTCATGTGTGGATCTTGGCTCTACTGGCCCTGTCCCCTTTTAATGGGGTCTTGTTGACACTTCTTGTCTCTCTTTCTAGCTCTGTATGTTTTTCAATTAGAGCATTTAGGGTTCCCATAGCCGCAAATGTATGTACCTGATCTTGTTTTCACAGTTGCAGATTTGACAGCGCTTTACAAAATGAGTAGCTGCTTGTTTTGCTTTCATTTTAAATAAAATCTGGGGTAGATGTTTTAGTCTCGCTAGTTGATTTCTCCCTTGAAGTGAGCAGGTGCTGGTGTTTAGGTTCCTTTCCTCATCTTCTTAAACATCTTTTCAATCCCATCTCTCCCTAACTCAGTTTTAGTAGAAATTAATTTCCGTCATCTTTTTCTCCTTACATTTTCACAAAGTGGCAGCAATTCATTTTTTGTACGTTTCCAGTGTGGATGGGCACAGTTTTCTAAAAGTGCCCCTTAAATCCATGTATTCACATTCTCCTCCCCTGCATCCCCACCAACACAGGGCTCTGAATCTTGAAGCCAGTGTAGACAGACAGCACTGAGCAGCCAATTTGAAGCTCGGTTTTAGAAATCTGGTTTGGGAATGTCCTGGGAAGGTAGAGAGGAGTTGACAGCCGGAGAATGTTTTCTGTTTGTTGTCTTTATTTTCCTTGCCTTGCCTTTTTTTTCCCCTCCCCAGTCAGGAGCAGGAAAAGGTAAACTGACTCGCAGTCTTGCTGTCTGTGAAGAATCCTCAGCCAGGCCAGGAGGTGAAAGTCTTCAGGATCAGGTATACCCCCTGTCATTTTCATTAACTGCATGGATGGGATCTGTCTTTGTGTGCATGAGTAGAAATCTGGTATTACACAGTGTTTTGGGGGAGAAAAAAAAATAAGCAAAGAAAGACATAGTTTCTGGTTTCATCCCCTGCTTATGAGACATTCTAAACTAGCTTAACAGTTTGTCACAGAGTATTACGTTTGTTTTTTTCCAGACTCTCTGAAAACTGCAAATGGAAAGGAATTCAAAAGAATTTAGATAAAAAACTTAAAAAGTAAGCACGGTAGTGCTGCATTTCCTCACAGGCTCTCTCTTGATAAGACTGAACCAAATATAGTACTAAGTATCCTGTCTCCTTCCTTATTGGAGATTCTTACCTCTCACTTCCCCAAAATACACTTGCCTATAAGAAACACAACTCTTGACTCTTAACGAAACTTTGGAAATAGTGAATAAGGTGCATTGAGCTTTGCAGACATATTTTTATGGCCTTTGGTAGAGATGCTGAATACTGAAAAAAATTGTCCAGAAATGAATCTGAGGTGATGGTGAATTTCATATTATTAAATTTATATGAATTTAATATTATTATATATCACTGTGGATCTTTCCACTTATTTTTGCTCCTTACAGGAAGACTATTAGGGTCTGAAAATTCGAATTCTGACAAAACCCTCCCGTGACCAAATGGGGACTTCATATTGTATTTATTTTTGTTTGCCTTTTAGGCATCATATTAGCTTTTATAAAAATAGTTTAGCAGCTGAAATTTTCCTTATTTTATCAGAGGCTGAGAGAAGTCGAGACAAAAGTAAAATGATTTATCTGAACCCAGGGGAGAGAAAATTGATTAAGATATCATTATTTTTGTTTGGGCTTGTTTGCTTTCCTCTTTTTACTTTAATTGAAATAATCTAAATTCTCCTCATGGATACAGAAAGCATTAAGAGCACTTTCTTTAAAAGGACCAAAAATAAATACCTTATAGATTTTGTCCTAAGAGTATTTTTTTTTCCCTAGCCTCATTTTCTTATTGTGCCACTCATGTCGTAAGGCATGGACAGGCTATCTTTCTCTAGCCATCACTATGTTTCATACACAAGCTTTATTTTACTTGGGCTCTGAGAAATGTGTGGCTTTTCTTCAGCATTTTATTTGTGCTTCTATTTTTAATGGAGACTGAAAAGGGGGACTAATGCAACTATCACGGCTTGTATTATTAAATGTTGATTGATGGCTTATAATGTACTGCACACGATATATGTTAACTCCGCGGAATGACAGACTCTGGGAGAAGTCATGCCCCAGTTGTCCCCCACTCCTAATACCAGGCAGAGGAGGACAGCCTTTATAGACCTAATCTGCTTTTCATCCCATTTGACAAGGTACCAGGAGGAAATTTTTTAAGAGATCATCTGTATCATAGTGCCCGTCCTGGACCTAAGTCTAGTTTCTCCATACAATTGTGCAGAGAAATAAGATGCAATCGGTGCTTTGTTCCTGCTGGTTTCAAGCTCAGTGACCAAGACTAGCCGTGTAGGAGAGAATTAGAACTTGTGCACCTCTCTTTGGGCTGGCTGAGGGGTGGTGGGAGCAGGCGTCCGATAGAAAATACCCAGACACACATATTAGCAAGTGGGCATGTGACTTGTTAGAGAATAAAGAAGCAGACCTTTGAGCTTATATGCAATGCCTTCATTAGGTACCACCGGCACTTACAAAATGTGGGAACTGAATCCCAGAGAACCCTGGCAGAAGTATACAGTATATGGATTGTATTGCTTCCCTAATATTTGTATATTCACAGTATTTGAAAACTGCCTTCATTTTCCTGTGTGGGAAAAACTCTTGCTACCTGTATTACTTGATCTCAGACCCATAGCTGATGGTTCAGTCTGTCCTTCAGTTAAAGGAGTTTTGCTTTTCTAATGTTATACTATTTACCTATCAGTGTATTACTGTGACTTGAATCATTCTTTTATTGTTGTTGGATATAAACTTATCCTGTACCAATGTATTTATTAACACTTGTATTTTATTATTGAGCATATCAATAAAAATATTAAAAAATAACAGATTGTTTTTTACCAACTCTATAGCACTTTTGTGTGTTCTTTCAACACCATAATGTATATTTATGTATAGAAAAGATAGGTATTTTTCTGAGAATACTATCTGTCCACACATGGCGTGAGTTTGTACTTTTTTTTTTTTTTCTGGTGGAAGATGTCTTTTAGCCTCTGCTCGTATTTATGCTTCCTAGCCTCTTAGATTGTAGATTCAAATTGACAGAGGCTGGGTGATGCAAGAGGTTTTGAAGAAGCAATGAGACCACTCCGATGGCCTGGTGCCCTCAGTTTCCCCTCCTGATCAACTATTGAATTGATTCTTCCCCACCCCCAACTGTATTCTCTGAACCAGAAATGTTGCAGCTGTCTCCTTAGCAAGCAGAAGCAAATCAAAACCTTACAATCTGCCCGAACCTTTGCAGACTAAAGGCATTTCTGTCCCATATCACATGACAATAGAACCCATAATCAAGTTACACTCAGTTTTACATATTTTGCGTAAGTCTATCCCCAGGATAAACACGTGGATGTCAGGAAATCTGGCTAGGATAAAAATCTATCATGAGAACATGTTTTATTTTATCCTCTCTATCATATGTCTTTTCAGCCCTGGTGCCTTTTTATTCCAGCCAGGAGTTCACAGTGGAACCCCTCCTAAAAAGCAAACTTGATTTCGGGGGTCTTGTTTTATGCTTGTTAGATTAGCCAGGTTTACCAAGAACCCTAGGAATCTTAGGATGACCATAATTTGAGGAGGTTCAGGCATTGCTTTAGTCACATGTATAGGAACATTAGTTTAGTTTTTAGTGAGAAACACTATTAGTCATTGGGATTTTTTTTTTTTTTACATCATGAATTTTAATGTCACTAGTAGAAAAAAGCTTTCCCATCAAATGATCTCTTACATAAGAGAAAGCAGACTTAATGTTGGTTAATTTGTCATAGTTTTAATCATAGCATAGGTTTTTCATGAAACTTCTTAAAAAATATGATTTGGCTCATTCTTCTTCAAAACAGTGAAGATACTATCAACCACATGGCTGATATGTGAGTTAAAACAATCTGTCTCCAGTGCAAAATAAATAAATATAAAAACGGATCCAGTCCCAATACAGTAAAGGGTCAGTACTGTGCCAAAGCATCAGTTCAAGAGAATTTTACATTTTGGAAAGAATTGACTGATAAAAAATTAAAATAATATTAAATATTTATATTTAATTGATGGGAAATATAGTTCTGCTTTCTAAAAGGCGATGCTGATTCTAACCATACATTATGATGACTTATTAATGGAGTTTATAAACAAGGTGTGATAATCATCCATACCTGGGATTCCTGCATTTAGATAGCTTGGTTTTTCTTAATAGTAGAAATCATTGTTGATGTGGTTCTAAAACAGACTTTTTATTGTAAATTGGCTATTAAGGCCTTTATGTCTGTTCTATCTGTAATTACGATTCGTAATACCTGTCTGTCTATGTTTGTGCAGATTTCTCCTTATAAGGAATTATAGAAAAGAACTCAGAAGGCTTTTTTTTTTTCTTTTTTTGAGACATGGCAGTAGCTGTGACGCAAGCTTACTGATAAGGAAATGTTTCCTAATGTTTAAAAATAAACCTGTAGGGAAAATAAGAGGTATGATCTAGGGGAAGTAACTTGCTTAATGTTAATATTCATGAGGCCAAGTGTTAGTACTAGATGTTTCTCATGACCTCCCATTGACTTCTGAAGTTTAATTCACCTTAAAGGGCAATTATTTCTCTGACAGGTTTAATTTTTTTTTTACCATTTCAGAAAAAAAAAAAATCTGCTCCTGGCTTTCATTTTCCTGTACTTAATAACCTCTATGCAAAATGGAAACCAGACAGAGATTCTTAAATCTGGCCCTAAATTATTATATTTTTTCCCCAACAGGAATCAATTCATTTACAGCTTTCCAGTTTTCCCAGCCTGCAAGAGGATGATAAATCTAGGAAAGATGACTCAGAAAGAGAAAAAGAAAAGGATAAAAACAAAGATAAAACCTCTGAAAAACCCAAGATCAGAATGTTATCAAAAGGTGAATGTGAACATGTTTCCTTAACTTACTGAATTTGGACAGATAAATAGTCACAGAGTACATCCTAGATTTACACACGTATTCACCTGCCACCAACGTCTGCATATACTTCTATATGTGTACATGTGTGTGTGTGTAAAAGATGTGAACTCTATTTCCTTTCTGTTCATGGTGTCATTTTTTGTGTATCCAGAAAGGTTAATTTTAGGATCACTTATCTCTTTGGATTTTCTTTTGGGTCTTCTGTTTTCGATGATAAGTTTGTACAAATGACTGAGTATAAATCTGCTCTTAATTCAGGTTTATTAATCCAATTAACTTGGGCTGATGAACAGTAATGATACCCAGTTCTGTATCTCAACTTCCATGTTTATCTTAAAAGACAGACAATAGATTAGCAATTTACAGCAGGTAAGTGATGTCGTCCCCAAAGCACAGACGTATATACATCAATGTCAATGGACTACGTGATTAACATTGTATCTGCCACAAATGGATTTGGTCTCTGCAACCCACATAACCGCCACATCATGTCTGACCTAAAAAATATACACTTCTACTCCAATAGTAAAAAAAAAAAAAAGCTATACCTTCTAAAACCCCAAGCCCATAGTCCAGACTTTTCAAATGGTGGCCATACATACAACTGTACAAAAATAAAACCAAAAAAAGGAAACAAAAGTTAAAATAAAACTAAGTTAAGTTGAAATGAAGAATACCGTGAATAAATAGCTTTGCAGTAGACTTTTTTTTTTTTTTTTAATAACCGAGAAAGAACACGGCATCCAATCAGCTGAGGAATGATGATTGCTTATATTATGCCCTGTAACAATGTATCTGCTTATAATGATTATCTCTGCTACTGAATGTCTAAAATGCAAGGTGTGACAGGAGTAAAGAAGTGCAGGTTCCTAAGATGACTTTAGAAATTAAGCTTTAGCCAGCATCAGAAGATTTGAAAGACTTGTAAATGTTTAGTGCCCACCTGTGTTTTGTACTGATGAATATTTAGATGGTCTCATCACAGAACATTCATTTTTGCCTTCTCTGTTTGGAGAGAAAAAAGGTTCCCTGGAATCTGAAACTCTTGAGAGCTCTCTCTGTGGGTTGGTAGTAACTGTCACGTGGAGGCCCTGGCCTCGCTGATTGACGACAAGGCATGAACACGTGAATTTCACCCCACCCACCTCCTGCCCGACTGTGCCCGCATCCCCTCCTGTGACAGCCGGATCTTTCCACACTCAGGATCTACTGGGTTCCTCCATCTCGAATCTGGTTTTCATTCTGGTGTTACGCTGCCAATTTGCTAGTTTCGAAACACGTACCTTCACGCCAATAGCTTCACCTAAAATTTACCCACCAGGAGGGAAACCTTTTTCACCCTCCCTTCCCCATCAGCATTCCTGACAATTTCCTCCTGCTATTTGTTTCAGATTGCAGCCAAGAATACACGGATTCTACTGGCATAGACTTACATGAGTTTCTGATTAACACATTAAAGAATAATTCCAGGTAAATTATTAAATAAACCTGTTATTTTTTAAAAGAGTAAAGTAGAATATTGTGAAGTCATGAGTCCAAGCATTTCTAAGTAGAGTTGTAAAATGCAGGCACCTTTTCTAATGTCCTAAGCTATCTCTTATATTTTCTCTTTTCTGTTTGCATGTTTACTATGTATAGATAGTCTTAATTCCTGGGTAGTTACTCAATGAGTAAATTATTACAAGTTCTGCTTTCCTGGTCACAAAGAGATACTGATTAAGGGGAAAAGATAGAGAATGAAAGTCAATGTTAAATAAACCGATTATGCTCTACTGCAGTTCTATAACTATTTACTTGGGCTTTGCTTTGCTCCAGTTTCCTATTAATTTAAAATATACAATGTATTTGATGTGTCTTATGGGCTTAACACCTTACATGTCTTAATTAACACTAAAACTGCAGAAGTTTCAATATTACAAAATACTTAACAAATGAGATGAGAAATATCTTCAGTAGGATGAAACCACATGCATATGGACAGCATATTCTAGAGAAGAGTTAGGTAAAGATTTATAGTCACATCAACTTAACCAATCTTTTTCAGACATGCAAATGAACATTTTAGGTCTTTGGGAATGGCAAGTGCCTCAAACCTTTTCATTTTAACATTTATTTTGCAGGGACAGGATGATACTCTTGAAAATGGAGCAGGAAATTATTGATTTCATTGGTGACAACAAGTATGTTATATTGCAGTGCTGATTAATTTATATGATGTGCTTAGTTTGGTATTTGGGTTTAATTATTCATTCTGGAAAGGTTTAGGGATAGATAAAACATTATTTAATATGTTTGCCGATTTGTTAAATGGAGACGCTATTAGGATTAGAAGCTATATATTGATGGGAATTGTTGCTTGGACCACGTGTGCTTCTGCTTGTTAAATTCCTGACAAAATGGCTATAAACAGGGGGCCGCTGATTAGCATAGAGTAGCTGTGACAAGAAGCAACCCTTTTCATTTTTATTATAGTTTCTTAATGGGCTCCAGATGGCTGCAGTCGGTTATGCCTGGTCATAACTGTGCTGCTTTCAGTGTAAACCGTGTAATGACACATCTCCAGATAGGCATCTGCAGTCACATACTATGTCATATCATTTGTCCCAAGCCTGGCTCCGTTCATGAGGTATCATGGACCAAAATAGAATACTTTCCAAAAGACATTAAGTTCTCTTTGCTGCGAGAAATGTGCAACTATGAAACAAAGATACTTAGTGTAGCTTAATCAATAAGTCCATAATAAATGGAAAATTGTCTGGAAATGAGGACATGAAGTGTGATGCCAGAGATGAAATAAGCTGTGTGCTTTGGATGAAAAATGAATGGTTTTGTGTGTGTACTTATAGAATGTCCTATAGACCAGAAACACAAATGTTGATCCCACTGCTTCTTGTATTCCTTTCCAGCAATCATTATAAAAAGTTCCCTCAGATGTCATCCTATCAGAGGATGCTTGTCCATCGGGTGGCAGCTTACTTTGGGTTGGATCACAATGTGGATCAAACAGGGAAATCTGTTATCATCAACAAGACCAGCAACACAAGAATGTAAGCCCATCACTGTATTTATTTAGCATTTTCTTTTTCTCTTATGGATTCATTTATAAGAGCATGATATAAAATTCAAAGTACATGACATTTAAAATGTGCAGTGTTATTTATCTCTTGCACTTAGCAGCGGTGTGTGGCATTTATCTGCAGAAGATTATCTGAGGACCGGGAAAGTTTATAAAATCTGGGCAGTAAAGTGGGTTTATTCCCAGAATTTTACATAGCTCCTAAAACATAATTGTCTTTCTTCCATCAATACTCCATGTGATTACAGAAAAAAGCATGGGACATTTTATGTCAAAGTATAACTCAAATTCAAAAAACAGACATTTTAAAACAGCAATGACATATGCAGGATAATTGTCCTTTTCTTTCCTTTTCCGGTTTGTAGACCTCTGTCTTATTATGGTTTCTAGAGTAACAAGAAGTTCTGCACCCAGAGAGGGAAATCCTGCACCTTAAGTCCCATTTTTTTACTTACTAGCTGTGTGACTTGAAACAAGTCAGTTAAAATCTGTCATCTCGTTTTTTTTTTTCCACCTGTAAAAGGAGAATTATCTAAGTTCTAGCTTTAAAAGGAAGGTGTTTTATTTGTTTTTGCTCCTTAAAATAATTGTTTGCTTCTATCTTAATATCTTTTCATGTCCTGTTGAGTCACCAAAAGCATAGGATGAGTAGTCCTTTGCTTTGGAAATTTGGACCTGGCTCTCTTAAAGGCATGTATGTTTTGAGCACAGTGCAAAGCCACTTTTATAGCAAATATATGTTAAACTGAAAAACTGTCCCTGTGCAAAGCATTCTCTTAAAACTTTTGTGCACTGTAATTTCTTTTTTCACAGTGTGCCTTGTCAATTGTGTAAATTGCATGGATTTTAGGGAGCTAGCGAAAGGAGCGTTCATGTCTAGCAGAGTGGCGTGTTTCAAACACTCTATTTTCTGCTCACCCGAGGCTGGACAAGTAGGGCTAGAGATGAGGCTCTTTCTCTCCTCAAGGCTCAGTCTGTGTTCAGCAGAATGAGAGTGCAGGTCGTAGTGGAGAGAACACAAACTGAGAGATCTCGGATGGAGCTGGGCTATTATCTCAGAGACAACGAGCTCTTCGCTTCTCTGGGCTTCCAATTACTTATTTATCTGCAGGAGAGTTTGAAGTGGATGGTATTTAAGGGCCCTCAAAGCTTCGGAATTATTGGGTCCTATGGTTGCGTTCTACTGTGCTGGCAAAATACATTTTAAAATTTATCAGCTTTCCACTTTATCTGATTGCTGGCACATGCACCTCCTTTTTCAACTGTCACAGGAATGAAAGATCACTGTCCTTTAAACATTTATACGTCCCCTCTCCATCAAGCATTCCTCATTGTTGCTGTTGTTGGTTTTCATTCTCCATTCTGGTTTCTTTTATGACTTTCAGATACTGTAAGTGCAGGGACACACTGGTTGCACAATAGGCCAGCAATGGACAATTTTTTTTCATTTGTTTTTCTCCTCTTTTTCTCTTTAGGTCATAACAGACATAGAAAAACCCATAGATCAAGCCTGTTGTTTGATACAGGCTCAACTAGCAGAGATAGTGCGTTGATTTTTAATTCACATTGATTTTGCCATCACATGGTCATGATATTAGGGTACATGTCTGATACCTGTTTCTGGGTAGAGTGGTTTTTGAGAAAATTAAGCACCATGTAAAGACTCTCAGTAAACTTTGAGTGACGGTCCTAAACTTGCAACGTCCAGGATGGTAGCTACTAGCTACATACGGCTATTTACATTTCGATTTAAATTAGTTCAAATTAAATAAGATGTAAGCTTCGAAATTCAGTTCCTTGGTCAGGCTAGCCACATTTCAAGTGCTCATATGAGACAGAACATACATGGAATATTGCCATGATTTCAGAAAGTTCTGTTGAGCAGCTCTTGTCTGAACTTGTGTGATTCTTACAAGTTTCCAAATACCACTGGATATAATCTGTCCCTTAAAACTTTCATTTTCTGGCTAATAAGTATCATATTATCATTTTATTAGACTTCACTTCCAGAAGAACACTAGTTTGTTTTGTTTTGGTTTTTTCCTCCCCCAAATAGCCAATTTTGAATAGACGCCTCCGGTTTATGCCTTCCGGAAGAGCAAAAGAGGACACGTGCAGAGAACACTTCCAGTGTAGTTGCTACGATGGAAGGGCCTGGACTGGCTCAGTCTCTACCCCGTGCCTGTCCTTGCACACACCCTCTAGCCCTGCTCTGTGAGTCAGTCTGTGCCTAAACAAAAAAGGCAAATGACTGTAAAGCATGGACTTTTAAGGCATTTCCTGACGAGCTGAGCTTACTAATGTTCAACCCAGAGCTGTCAAGTCGTGCTGTTCTATTCCAGCCACCTTTCCAACCGTCCTCTATTTGAGTGGCTGTTGTCTGGGGAAGGGGGCGAGGGGGTGCTGATATCTTTCAGGACAAGAGAAAGGGATGAATTAAATGTCATTTGTCAAATAGTAATAAGTCACCCCCTCAGAATGAGAATCACTGTTGGCAAAGAATCAGCATTAGCAAAGAAGCATTGTTGTTCTGTAGAAAGTTGTGTGTTTAAAAGTTTAAATGGAACATTCTGTTCAGAACATTTTGTTTAAGTGTTGGTTGTCTTGATTTTCTTTGGTCTTCCAAAAACTTCAAGAGTTGCTCTCTCAAGGCAAATGGCATGTGATGGTCGTGGGGACCACAGTAAAAGATATATTATAATAGATATATTATTGGATGGAAATGTTTCCATTTATATTAAGGAGGGAGGAAGAGATGGAAATTCCTCAGATGACTCCTTGTGGATTTTGTGTTTTGGGAATACCTTTGCAGGGGATACAGTTTGATGCTACTTTAGTGCAAATACATGAAGGTGCATATTTTAAATGGCACCGTAGCTTGGGAGAAATGTTGAAAAGTGCAGATGGAGGACACAGAAATGAACTAAAGGGCTGACAGAGAGAAAGCACGTTTTAATATAATTTTTAATTTTTCTTCTTCAATGACACTGATCCTCTGACGTGGATGCCTTTCAGCAACAAAATGGCTGGAATTTATTTCCCAGAATCCTTGCTTTTCTAAATTATAAGCAGTTCAAGTAATTATACAGTGTGGCTTGAGAATATTAAGTTTTGCCCAGAGAGAGAATAGTTTCACATGAGGTTCAAAACATTTACTCATGACAGTACACTGTGAGGATTATATTTGTGTGTGTATGTACTTTACTTTCTTCTAGTATCTTCTGTAATATCCTGAGATAAAATATATCTGTCTTTCATGATGGAAAAAATTTGTCTGAGGACTGACTTTTCAGTTATTTAAGTGATATAAGATCATTACCTACTTATTATTCATTGCATTGGATACTTTACCTCTTATTTCATGTATATTATTCCATTTAATCCTGAAAACATATTTACAACCTAAGTAATTAGAGCCTTATTTTACAGAAGCAGAAAACGAGGCACACACTCAGGTTCAATTTTGGGCCTACAGAGAAGCAATGATTAGCATGGCTGGGATCCAAGTCAGTTTGTTAAATGCTAAGAACAATTTTCTTAAATAATCTAACTCTCTTAGAGCAAAAACACCCAGAACATCTTAGGCAAAATCCTCAACAAGATTCCCTGGATTGGTGGGGAATTCCACCTCTTTGAAGTCTTTTGCTATCTGATAAGAAACAATGAACAGGCCCAGGGGGAAGGGGAGATATTTTTGAAGATGAACTCAGTAGTATCAGTAAATAATGTATACTTCCCACAATTTGATAGTTCTTCTTACATTCTCTGTGTTTATCACTACTGCAAGATGTGATATTTGGTTGGGGGATGATATTGATTCAATTTCAACCTTGCTTTACTCTACTTCCATCTTTTTCCCCCCTAAAAATGAAAAAAGCTATACTTAACAATAATATCAGTGTAGGAGGTAAACCTACCTATTGTATTATTATGAAATTACTGCCTCAGGCAACCTAATTGTCTAAATCCATGGTTTCATGCCAGAGCCACAAGAGCGTGGGGTGGGGTTGAAGGATACAGTAGTCCACAGAGAGTAGGAAATGCCAGCCATGCTCATGTGGGAGACATTCCAAGAAAGTGCCTTCCTCTGAGCAAACCCGGGTACTTCAGAGTGTTGACAAGGAAGTCACCTGACCCTCCAGCACCGCTGGAGCTAGCCGGGGTAAGAACAGGTGAGTATGTGTCACCTGGAGCCTCCCAGCACACCTATTGGTTCACAAATTGGGTCTGAGTAGTTGGGGATGCTCCTCATTAAAATTCACTGCCTTTTGTTGAAATGACAGATGGCGTTTTTGAGCTGAGACTCACCCTGGTATGTTCTATCACCTTTAGTTTATCCCTCTTTCCCCCATATGTTGCCAGAAATATGTTTCACTCTGTAGCACTTTTAAGTTTTTTTCAGTTGGGATTCTTTGTTAACTGTCAGATTAGGTGGTAGCACCGAATGAGCCCCTTGGGAATCTGGGTAGGGGGTGTTAAGGTCTGTGTTATTTGGGTACTGCAAGTGATATTTAAAATGTACTTACTCTCTATACTGTTGCTTTTTTTTTTTTTTTTTTTTTAGGACTGAGGCTAAAAATATGAACATGATTTTATAAAAAATATTTAAATGCTACAAATATATCTGTCTATTTTTATATGAGAAACTTTGCCCTTCTCTTTGTCTGCCTTTCCGATCTCCACACTGTCTTTTGCTTACTTTTCTAGGTGTTTAGCCCAAAGCAGCCCACTGTTCTTTTATTAGATGATTTTTTTTTTTTTTTTACCTCTATCTGCCTTTCTCCATCTTAGAGAAACGATATATGCTCAGGTTGTATCATTTGGAGGCTTGAAACCATTCCCTTGCATTAATGTTTTCCAAAGGGCCAGCCAAGATCAGTCATAGGGAAAGAGAGTCCCATGTGTATCTGAATGTCTTTGCAAATGTCAGAGTAACTGTTTAACTAGTCCCAGATAATTGTCATGTTAGAA